GGAAGCCAAGCGTAGAAAATTTGTGACACTTATTTTCCTGGCAACAAGGAAGTCTTCTATTAAAAATAAAAAACCCTTTAAGAGAATTTTTCACACAAACACAAAAGCAGAGAGAATTGCATACTGCAATTCATGGGTCCTTCACCCAGCTTCAATAATTATTAATATTTTGCCAATCTTGTTTCATCTCTCTGGTCCCTCCACCCTTTTTCTGGTTTTGTTTTTGCTGGAATGTCTTAAAGCAAATCTCAGGTTTCCCATAATTTTGCCCATAAACATTTCAGTATGAGTCTCTAACAAGATAAAGACATTTAGAAACATAATCACAGTGCCCTGATTATACCTAACAAAATTCATAATATTACAGCGGCCCAGCTGTATCTCAGTTGACCATGGATAAATGCGGTCTTTGTGGTCTTATTAGATTAGATTTCGTAAGGTCTTTTCAGGACAATCAGCAAAACCTTTTTATTTTGACATAATTTCAAACTCACAGATGGTTTGCAAGAATAATACAAAGAATTCCCAGATACTCTTCGTCCATATTCCCCAAGTGTTAACATTTCACCCTATTGGCTCTATCCTTCTCTCAATCTGTGATTTTTTTCCTGAGTCATTAGTATGTTGCAGACGCAATGTCTCTTTATCCCTAAAAATTCTCTTACATAATTACAGTACAACTATCAAACTCAGAAAATGAACATTGATACAGTGCTGTTTTCTAATCTATAGACTTCATTGAGGTTTTTCTAGTTGTCCCAGAGATGTCCTTTACAGCAAAAGAAAAAGTCAGTCCTCACTTCCTTCAGCCTTGCATAGTCTAGACCAGTCCCTGAGTGTTCCTTTGTGTTTTATAATATTGCTATCTTTGGAAAGTTCTGGTCAACTGTTACATGGGATGCCCCTGATAATTCCTCATGATTCCATTCAAGTGGCATTTTCTTGGCAAGAAGACCACAAGGTGATGTTCTGTCCAGTTTATTATATATCAGGAGACATATCAATTTTTCTCAGTACTAGTGTTAACTTTGATTGCTTGCTTAAAGTCAAATCTGCCAGGCATCTCCACAGTTACTGTTTTTCTTTTTTGCAATTATTATCTGGTAAAAAGATACTTTTAGACTATGTAAAGTTTTTGTTGCTTTTCAAACTCCTTCCTCCCTAATTTTAGTATTCATTGGGGATTCTTGCCTGCCTGAATCAACAATTTTGATGGTGATCAAATGGTGGCTTTCTAAGTATATATCATTCTCCTTATAATTAGTTTGGTTTCAATTATCTGTAAGATTTTCCTCCTCTCCCCCATTTATTTTTACCCATATGAACTCTTGATTCTAACTTTGAAATACATGCTGTAATCCTTTACTTTCATTATTTATTTGGTTGTTCAAATTCCCCCAAGATTTAGCCAGTGGGAAACAGTAGGAGCCCCTCCTAGCTGGCCCTGCGTCCTTTTGACATGTTACCATCATTCTTTGATCACTTCTTTAATTTCTGGCACAAGATGTTATAAACTAATTTTATCCTTTCCCTAACCCAGTCTTGAAAGCTGCCATTCCTCCAAGAGACCCTGAAAACACACACTCACACACACACACACACTTTATCTGTCTCTCTACGTACCTATCTAAAAAATCATGATGGTTTTTGTGGTCTTATCATGATAGACAGTCTGATCTCTCCCACAGATTTCATTCTATTTCCCCTTTCCATGATTACAATTTCTTTCTCATTTAGTGACTAACATGCTTCCATTATCCAGCATGTATTTACTTATGTGCTCAAATGTTCAAAAGGCACTTCAGAATTTCTAACTCACACTGCTGTGTAAAGGAAATCTGGTGACTACAGTTACATATTTGTTTAAAGTTCTTTTTGTTTTTAGTCTGAGGACAAAGCAGTAGAAATACCATGTTCCCATATTACTGGGTTAGTTTTTGCCCCTGAGTAATTGTTATTTAAAACTGTCCTATCAAAATACCATTCTGTTAATGTTTCTGTTTGTATTCCATCTAGGGTTTTCCCTCTTTTTTTTTTTTGATCTATTTATCTTCTTCAAGCATATAAATCATTAACATAATTCCCCAAACCAGAACTCTACAAAAACTTATGCTCAGAGGAGAGTTAGTTCCTATCACTCCACAATTTTCCTAGCCTTTACCTCTTATTCCTACTATTGTAATCAATCTCTAAAGTCCCTGGTTTATCCTTCTTCTAATTTTTCACAAATAAGCAGATAGCTACATGTTTCCTTTTATTTGTTACAGCAAAAATAGAATAATCAGCATATGACAGAGTCTCCTTTGCACAATCAAAAATATGTTAAGGCCATAAGACTTACATTTTCTTTCAATTCCTTATATATCCCTGGCCTCCTGTGACTCAGAAAGTCCATGAAATCCTAAATGCACTGAAGTGAAGCTGTATAAGAAAATAATGCAGGTGTTGCTTTTTAAAAGTGGCCTCTGTTGGACAAGAACACTCAACCAAGAATCCCAGAAGCCCCAACCCTAGCATGAGTGGAAACACCCTACCTAAACCCAAGATCCTTATTCAAGAAACAGCCAGTCTCTGAGCCAGACATCCTTTCCTATTAACAGAGCTGGGTGCCCAGAAACAAAATCACCAGTGTCTGGAACAAGCCACTCCATAGACGTCTGCAGGCGCGCAGACTGGAGCAGGCAGTCTGTCTATACAAGGACACCAGCCACCTTGCCATTAACTTCGCTTGGCTTGCAGACAGCCCAGGCCTCCTGAGAGGGGCCCCTGGGTGAAGGGAGGCCTCTGGGACCTGTGCTTTTCCTGGCAGGTACAGGATGCACCTGCCCAGAGCTCCCGCCTGCCGGATACAAAGCACAGCTGTTTTTTCTCAACTTGAACAAGCTACATTTAGCGGGAAAGCCAGGCTGGGAGGAGGAAAGAGGAAGAAAAATTCCACACCTGTCCTACACTTTTCAGGAGTTCTCCTCCCAGGACTCATAAGCATTGGGAAGGACTTGAGGGGAATTTACTCAGTTCCTTTGAGGGTTAGCAGGTGGCTCTTGATTGCTGTTACAGACAAGCCTGTCTGTGTCTGCCAGGGAGGGAACTGCTCGCAGAGAACCCAGTGGAGGCAATTAGCACAGGCTGAGCTTCCCACCCCATGTCCCAAGCTTTGTCTAGATTCAAACGCCTGGACCAATACATTTCGGGGATGTATGTATAACTCATCTCTGACAAGACCAGACCAACTCACTGGGGACTCGCCCCTGCTCAGATTACAGAACAATTATCTGCCCTATAGTCTGGCAGTGGACAATGAGTCACAGGGAAGCTGCTGCTCAGACCATCATAGGAATCAAATGGAGGCTGGAACGCGCCCAGACAGGCCCAGACCTCCTTCCCTGCCCTCCCTGTAGGAGCTGGCCCAGGATAGAGCCAGAGGCCTGGGGAGCCCCTCACTGTCATTCCAGACCTAGCAAGAGTATCCTGGAGTTTTCAAGGATCCAATCAAGGATTCTGGCAATTGAATCCACAGGTCTCCCATAAATCGGAGCATTCCAGACTCTCCTCCAGCCTCCAAGACTTACCCTGGGTCACCACTCTGCCATGAAGAAGAACATGTTCTCTCACAGAGGTGCCAGGCTGCTAGCATTAAGGGGAGTATGTCTCCTGTGTCAATGATGAAAACCTAGGAGCAGCTCCTACCTTGGAGGACTGCCGCCCCAGGCAGCATGTAAGCACTGAGGTCAGAATCAGAGTCTCTGCTGTTGGTATTTGGGCCAATTCACAGAGATGACTTTCACCCTTAGCAGACACACCTGTGTAAGAGGAGACTGGATAATGATTTTCTATCTTATGAGGTTTTGGCAAGCATGGAGTAAAACAATATTGACTAATGCGGGTTTCAGGAACTATAACTGTCTTTAAAACACACTGCCCCTCCGTACAGCGCTAGTGACACACTGTCTAGCCCACTTCTACAGCAGGGGCAGTGGCCTGCAGATCTTACTCAGGTATTCAGCAGGCACCTACTTTGTGTCTAGCACAGAAGATACATAGAATGAAGTCACTAGTCTTCATAACTCTCACACAAACGGTAAAGCTGGATAATATCACCTTGCCAGTATCGGTTTTTAGTTGTGGGACCTTTTCATTTTTTTTAAGGATTTATTTATTTATTTATGCGCACAAGAACTGGGGTGTAGGCCAGAGGTGCAGGGGTGGTGAAAGGATTCACGAGAGACAGAGTGGGGAACAGAACAGACAGATCCACTGAAACACACCGCTGAGGGGAGCAGCAGGTGAGACAGGAGAGGTCTGCTGCGCCATGTGGGCATCCTCCCTGGCCAGGGATAGAACTTGTGCTGCAGAGGCTGTGGATAACTTCCTAGTGCTGCACCTTAACCCCTTGCGCCACCAGGGAGGGCCCGGGAGCTTTTCATTCGCCTTAAAAGCCATCATACTTAGAGTTTAACAAATCTCTTATAGTGCCTAAAAATTGTACGAAAATCCTTTTAACCATTTTAATCCAAATGTTTAACAAATCTCTTATAGTGCCTAAAAATTGTACGAAAATCCTTTTAACCATTTTAATCCAAATGTTTAAAAGCCATCATACTTAGAGATGGCAAGATGTGGTAGGGGAGAAAGCAATGGGCCTCACGCCACCCAGCGTGGAGCAAACTTCGACCTGCTAGCTACATACACAGGAATTTGACAGCTCTGCCTCCCCTAAAGGAAGGTGAAGAAGTTTCTGCCACAGGGTCCGTGGGAAAGACTGGAGTAGGGGGGAGGGAGTGGACATTTAATGCCAGGTGCCAGTGAGGGCTGGGCTCCTCGTGACAGCCCCATGACCTGGACACTGGTTATCGGAAGCTGCTAAGGAAGGAGAAGTATCATATCCCACAGCCAGTATCTGGACCCCCTGGAAGGACGTGAAGACCATGCAAAGGAGAACACCACCACTTCATAGGTGCTTTTATTTCAGGAGGTATGCTTTGGATTCCACAGGTGTCTCCATGGAAACTGTTCTGAAACTCTTCGGCGAGTACTTCTTTAAATTCTGTAAGATGTCTGGCTATGACAGGATGTTACGGACACTGGGAGGGAACCTCACAGAGTTTATTGAAAACCTCGACGCCTTGCACAGTTTCCTTGCTCTCTCTTACCAGGTAAGACTGTCTGGGTCTGTTCTTGGTGAGAAGAAATCGCCCTCTTCCTGGGAAGAAGCAAGTGCCTGTAGCAGTCTCTACCTCCCACCCCCAGGCCGGGGCAGTTCTGGGGGAAACAATGGAAAATGAATACCTATTGGCCACTTTTGTAAGCTGACTGACAACAATTAAAGGCGGGCAGGCCAGAGACGTCCAGCTTTACTCTGATAGGGGTTGGTGTGGCTTTGGAATTAAATCCAGAAGATTAATCACAATGGGAACAAAGGCTGCGGGAACAATCAGGTTTCAGTGGATTTGCAAAATCTCTCCTCAGGTTTCCTGGTCTGGACAGGGCTGATAAATAGCTTCTGCAGCCAGATTCATTTATTCATGTATCCGAAGGAAAGACTCGACAGGGCCAAGAGTTGGAATCGGAAACCATCCAACTCTGATTAACCCGCGGGTGGCTGCCTGGAGTGTTAAGAAACTAATTTCCCTATTGGGTGATGTCCTTCTGGAGTTTGTTTCTTGGTTTCTTGTTTGTAGAGATCATTGGAAATTCAAATTCTTAGACTCCTTTTTCTTTTTTTTTTTTTTTAAGGAAAGAAAATGCCTTGATGAAAAGAGCAAAGTAGCATTTACATATCTCATAAGAACTGTTACATAAAATAGTTTATACTTATTTTATGGCCCTTTGTAGTTTATCAAACTCTTTTTCACCATTTCTATATTCAATGCTCATAACCACCCTTGAAGGGTGTCATAAGAATAAAGGGTTTTGTATGCTAAATTGCTGCATGGACCATAATACACCCTTGTAGATGTGATATGAAAAAAGTATTTTTTCTTCATTTTTCAAATAAAGAATAAGCAGCTTGGGAACCTTCATTAGTTCCAAGTAGGATAAGTCGAGGGGCCTGTCCTGGTGTCGTGTGAGGTTCCCGAGGACAATGGAGGGCGCCCTGGCTCTGGAGGCAGAGGGCTCAGCTTGCTGTAAGACCAACTTGTCGACATACTAGCTCTGTGACTCCAGACCAGTTCCTTGCCCTCTCTGGAGTGCCTGATATGTGCCCAACATTTTTTTGAGACATAGGACACACGGACAAAAGAATAAAGGGGGAAAATCACTCATGTTGATATGCAAATTAAAAGAAATAGCATGTAAAATTTCTGATATTGAAATCAGCACAGAAAAGCAATTTCCTAAATAATAGTTTCCTTCTCCTTCTTTTTCTCTCTGTTTAACATGGTGCAATTTTGAAATTACAATAATTTTTCATTAAGGTAACCTTGGTTTACAGCACAGTATATGTTTCAGAAATATAGGGTCCCACCTCTTCAGTGTATGTCACCACCCCACACCCAGCACCCAAGCCCCCACCGTCCTCCACCATGGTCCCCTGGGCACCCCCCAGCTTTGCTCTCTGCCTTCTCTCCAGCTGTGGCAGCCTCAGTTTTACAGTCAGATTTCTAGAGTTTGTTTTGGTTTGGTTTTGTCTGACTCTTTATTTTGTTTCTTCATATTCCACACATGAAGGAACCATCCAGTATTTATCTTTCTCCTCTGGCTTATTTTGCTTACCATAATTCCCTCCCCTTCCATCCATATTGTTGCAAATGACAAGAGTTCATCTTTTTTAATAGCTGTATAGTATTACATTGTATATATACATTGTCTGCTTTTCATTATATTCCCATTGCCCTGATTCTCCACTTTTGTAAAGCCCTATTTTAATCAAGAAATGAAAGTATAAGCATATTATTTAGAAAGCTGAAGACATACTGACCAGAAGAATTAAAAGCACAGATTATGAGAAGTATGCCTCAGAAGTAGCCTGGGCTGGGGATGAGCTGGGACCCTGAGGTGGTCACAGCAATGTGCTGATTTTCACTGTGGCCCTTCTGTGCTCTGGTTATTTTCTCCACATGTAGAGTTTTAAATAATTTTTAAATAACATTTATTTTCCCTTTTTATCATATATTTTGTATATACACTGCCTCATATATTTAGATTCAGTTAAGCTGTAAACACAAACACATACTTTATGTGTATGCTTTAGGAAATGTGAAATAAATATTTTGGGGTTAAAAAAAACTTGATTTTCACCCCATGATGGAAGAGAGCAAAGATCTCAGAAGGGACCCACCCTCTTTGTCTCTTCCCTTACTCAGACCAAAAGCTGTCAGTGAGAGTGCCGAGATGCCCACCAACCAAGCAAAGCAGGGAGAAAATTGCTTCTCTGAGAGACTCCCCACAGCAAAGTCCTCGTCCTCGTCCTACTTCCATCTACCTTGAGATAATGCCCACTCGATCGGCAGAACTTATTCCCAGATTATGATGATCTCATTTGATGTATCTTGATTTTCCTAAGTGCAACTTTATACCACAATGGCGTAATCCTTCCAGAACAAGAAATGAACTCATCTCCACTTGCAAATTCCTCTGAGTCCTTGCTTTTTCTGAGAGGGAAGATGTCTGAGGTTACTTGGTCATAAGCCAGGCGGAACAGCCAGACACTCCTGGGAGTGAGAGCAGAAACAGGACAGCATAGTAGAAAGGCTCATTAGAGGATCAAAACATTATTTTACCATGAATCTAACCTTAACCTGAGCCTCCATTTCCTCCTCTTTAAAATGGACATAATTCTTACCACATGCAATCGGTTAGGGGCCAGGCATAGTATAAAAGTCCTGACATAGAAGAGCTAAAACCATGGTAGATTTTATTTTTATGTGATTGGAGTGGGGGTTTGGAGCATAGTTTTGTGGGATGTAGTGGATATGTACTGTTGTTTCATAAACATTCAAAAGTATAATTTAACCAACTCGTATTCACTGGGAGCAACACGCTGTGACTTTTTATTAGGAGATGAATGCACCCTCGTTTCGTGTGGAGAGAGATGCAGATGGGAGGATGCTTCTCCATTATTACTCTGATAGAAGTGGTCTGTGCCACATTGTACCAGGTAAGGGGGTGTTTCCACCAGTATCAGATGTGGGGTCTCTAGAATGAGCAGGGATTCCCCATAAATTCTCCAAGAAGGCATGTAGCTGGAGGTAAGATGTTCAGCTTCATCTTCTGTGAAATTAGACTCTTTTCCATTTAGACCATTAACTTCCAAAGTCTTTGAACCTTAAGAATAGGCTTCCAAAGTGCCAAAAGAAGTCGTTTTCCTTTTTATTTCAACAGTTTAAATTATGCAGGATTTTACATAGTTGTGATAATTCTGCATGTATTATTTTGTGCCAAAGATTTGTATTCAACATTTTTTAAAAAAGCACCGTCCACATTTTTATAGAGTCCTTAAAACTTCCGCCTTCAACCCCTGAATAGTGTTACATATTCCAGTTAACGAGTCCTTTGCAGTTGGACATTTAGTTAACACCGCTCCTTCGCATCTGAGCAGTGCTGTGATGAGCATATTCATACCGATATGCTTTTCCTGTGCTTTATACTGTAACTTGGGTAGATTTCTAGAGGAACTCTTTTTAAAACATGACCCTTGATGCTTTCACAACTGAGTTTTGCTTATAATATCTCTAGAGTTCATTTAATGAAATAAACTTCCTGAAGTAAGCAGATTAATAGATGCTTTACTAGAAATAAGAGTGGCAGGGATGTATTTAGTATCCAGTTACGTATTGTGTAAATCTCTGTTGTAATGTTATTTTTTTCATTTTCTTTATCTGTCATATGCCGCCCATTTTGCTGCAGGGCCTGGGCTTGGTGAACCCGGGACTATTTGTCAGCCACGTATAATTTAAGTTGCTGACACAACCGTCCTCTGCCATCCCTTACACTAAGCATCCCTCTGCTGCAGGTATCCTTGAGGCTGTGGCCAAAGATTTCTTTGACATTGATGTGACTATGGATATCCTTGACATGAACAAGGAGGAGGAGAGGACAGGCAAAAAGGAGCATGTCGTGTTTCTAGTGGTGGAGAAACCTCTCAAGCAGATGAGAAAGGCAAAGCCACAGAGGTTACAGGATGGGGAGGACCTCCAGCGAGACCAAGAGGTACTGGGTTGGCTGTATCTTCAGAAAGCAGAGTTCCTCCTGGTGGAGCTACCTGTCTTAGACAATGCAAAGAATAGCATCGCTTGACCTTCTAGTAATGAACTCAAAACAGGGCTTCTCAGTCTCAGCACTATTGCTATTTTGGGCCAGGTGATTCTCTGTTGTGATGGGCTGTCCTGAGCATTGTATGTTCAGCTGCATAAATCTACCCACCAGATGCAGGTAGCACCCTTCCTCACCCCCTCAGTTGTGGCCACCTCCTGCCCCAGTTGTGGCAGTCAAAATGTCTCTAGGCACTGCAAAGTGTCCCCAGGGTGGAAGTGAGAACAAGATCACTCCTGGTTGAGAACCAGTGGGTTAAGGCAACCTGGATAATATGAGGCTTTGAGGGATGTACCTTAGCCTGGAACACTTTCACTTATAGCAGTGCCAATAAAAAGGGCTTGAATTTGGCCTATTTTGGAATCCTAAAATAAATTGACCTTTCATGGTCCTGATGCCCACTTCTGCCTCTGAGACCTGTTAGGAATCTGGAGTCAACACATGATCCTGTGGCTGGCTGTCCTGTTACATCTCGTAGAGTGACCTGTCTGTGCAGGTACCTCACAGGTTAGCGGCACAGCTCTTTGGTTCACAGGGCTTGCACAAATATCCAGGTAAGGCTGTGACTCCTCTGATATCAATGTTTATACCTTAGAATATTCAAGCCTACCTCAGAGTCTGCTCACTGTTCACAACTACTTCGGGAAGATATGTAGATATCTGATTTTCCTCCCAGTCCTCTCTTGATATTTTGTGTAAAGTTCTTGCGGCCTCTGGTAGAGGAATGTCATGAGGAGCCCTTAGGTGAAAGTCTTGGGACATCCAAAGTCTCACCAGGATTGACCTGTAAGCTCTCATCATTCCTCTGGCCCCAGTCATGGCAAACAGGCTTGTTCATTTCAGCCACATGATCAAGTCAATCGCATGACCAGACACAAGGCCTGTCACATGACCAGACAGGGCTACTTCTCTTCCTGCCATCTACAGGCCCTGGACGCAGCTTTCCTGAGAATGAAGGAGAAATATTTGAGTGTCTCTGTTTGTCCTGTGAAGAAACCCCACTGGGAAATTGTGAGAAGTATAGTCATGTTTGGGAAAGGTGAGTGGAAGTTCCCCTTGACCTAAGTTCTCAGAGCAGTTTGCTTGGGCCAGCTATGGCAAAGTCCTCTCTGACTATGATGTCACTGATTTCTGCAGAGCATGGATTTGGCAGGCATGGCTTTTCACTTTAAAGTGTCACACTTTACCTTGCCTTCCTTTGGCCCATTTAAGAGTGCTGTAACCAGGGAAAGCCACTGAAGAGTGGATTAGAAGCAGTCCCTATTGGTGGTTGTGTTGAAAACAAGGAGAACAATGGATTTTCCACAGCTTCTGTTCTGGATTCAGGTCTTCTAGACTGGCCTGCAAATCTGTGGATTTTACCCTCTGTGTAAAAGAACACTGAACCAAGAGTATAGAAAGAAGATATCTAGCTCTGTCCCTAAAAAGTTTCGTGACCTTGCACAAGGTCCTTCAACTTCCATCTGAAAAATGAAGGCGCAGGCACTGCTGTTAACTGTCCTTGTGGCTCCCAGCCGGTCTGGCAATCAGCACCTGGTACCTGAGTGGGTGGAAGGGGCCCTGACCTTCTACTAGAGGGCTCCTCCTCCCACCCCTCAGGTCATGATGACAAGCATCTGGCTCAAAGGGCTGCATTTTGAGTTCCTCAAGCCCTTGGCAAGCGAGTCAAACATGCAATTGATGTCCTTTGTTTAGGAGATTTTCATATCAAAAAGGCTCCATTTCGAATTTCTACCCCCTGCCAAATAGGGCTGTTGGTTAAATTTTCATGTGCCACCCAAAACTGTCAGTCTAAAAAGCTCCATGGCAAATGTCCCTGACGCTGGGCTGGGCGCACACGCTCTGCTCTGCTAGCCCATTGTCTAGCTGTCACCGGCTCAATGCGACTCTGTTTTCATGGCGAGACGTACTCAATTGGCCCAGAAACTCTTCAGTGGCGGGCAGAAACTTGGCAGGGGGCAGAAGGGCTTCTCAACCTGGTAGCAAGTTTTCTGTTTGTTATAATTTTGAAAAAGAATTGCCGTGGCCATCTGGAGACGCCGAGGGAGCCTGCAATAAAGAGCCAGGCCTGCACTTTGCCCATGAAACATTTCAGACGGGAACCCGAACTCTGCTCCGTGCCAGGTTGACGCTGCTGGCCGCTGCCAACAGTACTCTCTTTCTCTACATCCAGGGCATCTCATGAACACCTTCACGCCGATTTATCCTGAGCAGCTCTGGATTGAAGAGAAGACATTCTGCAATGCTTTTCCTTTCCATATTGTGTTTGATGAATCAGTAAGCAGTTCTTCCCTCTGTAGCTCGACTTGGGGAGGGTAGTATGCTATATAGTCAGATTTTAAGGCCGGTGGGAACTGTCAAGTTCCTGAGGATCCCCCAGAGTTTGGGCGTAGGATTTAGCCTGGCAGGAGCTTGGACTTCCTTTCCATTGAGACATCCCCCAGATACCAAAATGCAGGATCTTCTTCATAGACATGGAAGAAGGCAGCACCAAGGGGCTCAAATTAGTGGTGCCTGAGCCATTTTGCCAGTAGAGAAAAAGGAGTGACTTTAAATCATTACATCAAGAGACAAAAGAACACTCTCAGTACCCATGGGGGGAGGGTTCTACACATGCCTCCCCCTATCCTTGTGGTCCCCATGGATGCCTTTCTCACCACGCTCTACTTTCTGCCCCTTGAAGGTAGGGCAGAGGTCTGTGTCAGCTCATGCTACTCTTCTGTGGGCATTGTGACAGTGACCACTCCAACCCGGTCTTTACTGATTTTCTGGATAAGATATGTGTTAACTGACTTGCTAATAAACTCATTTAAAGCATCATTAAGCAAAATAAATTTGGTCCAAAATGTCAGTTAAAATACCTTCAGTTACTGGAATTTTCTCTGATATTTATTTGAAGGCACAGACATGATTTCCACCTACCTGTCAACTACTGGATACAGATTCAATGAAATTTACTCATTTGAGGTCCTAGCGCTGCTTGCAAACAATTCATCTAATCAAGGAAATCAAACACTCCTATAAAAAACAAGTGGAGAATAATGCAGACTTTTCTCCAGAGCTACAATGATATTATTCCTGCTTCTACTAATATTTTAAACACTGATTACTTAAAAACTCCTTTCATTTTTGATTAGGTTGATTTTTTGAGTCTGCCAGAGTGCCCATGGTTAGTGAATTTAATTATTAGTGAGTAGCCTGGACTGACATTGGACACTTTACATAAAGAATATTCATTTTTTCTTCTTCCTTCTGTGTGTTCCCTGGAGATACTGTGAAAGGTATCTTCCCATCCCTTCATGATGGACTGGATTACAGAATTTGCCTGGGGAGGGGGGTAGGGAGCGGAGAGAGAGAGAGAGAAAGCGAGCTGTTTCACAGAACCTGTTTCACAGCTTTAATCTCTGTTTCTTGCTAGTTGGAGATATGCTTTTGAGCATGTCCAAACTATTCTTCTCTTACAGAGATTTGCTGCAGATTGATTTTTTTTTTAATTGATTACTTCCATGGTGTTTATCCCACCACTTTCCTCCTAGTGATTCACAAATCCTGGCCAGAATGATGTTTGGAGGGAAGTTTATCATGGAGGTTGCTTTCTGTCCCCCATCTTACATCTATGCTCTGTGACTAGCTTAGGGTCAAGCAAGCTGGAGTGAATATTCAGAAGTATGTTCCAGGACTCCAAACCCAGAAGATTCGATTAGATGAGTATTTCTCCATCATTCATCCCCAAGTTACCTTCAATATTTTCAGCATCTGCAAATTTATCAACAGTCAGTTTGTCCTGAAGGCACGAAGAGAAATGATGCCTGAGGTGTGGAGGAGTCAGCCCACACTCAAACTCCGAGGTAGTAACTCACTCCATCCTCAGTTTGGGGGAATGGTCAGGAAGGGAAGGGGCAAACTCTTTCAATTTCCTCAAACTAGTTGGGTTAAAAAGTGAGACAAAGCCTACACTGAGAACAGTTGTTTTCTTCTGACATTTCAACTTGACTTGATCTATAAACAATGCATTTTATTTCTTCAACCATATTGGGTCTAAACATAAATTTATGGACTCTAATTATATTTTTATAAAATTCTGGTGTCTGTAACCAAAAGGTCCAGGATGCATGTGGTGCTATTAGTATTAATTTCACATCTGTCCTTTATATAGCAGTCTGATTATCCGCCCTCCTGGTAACAGAGCACTCATTTTAGTGGGTTTTTATTTTCAGTTGTGATAACATTTCTATAACATAAAATTTACCATTTTTAGTGCATAATTCCATGGTATTAAATACATTAATGTTTATTATACAACCATCAACCATTACTATAGTCCTGCTCCAGAACTTTTTACATCTTACAAAGCTGAAACACTGTACACTTTATTTTTTTTTTTTTTTTTTTTTTAATAGAGGCATGTTTTATTTATTTATTTGTTTGTTTGTTTATACAAGCACTGGGTACAGTCAGAAGCACGGGAGGGTGAGAGAATTCACCAGAGCCAGAGCAGGGAGCAGAGCAGGCAGAGGGACCGAAGTACACTGCTGAGGGGAGCAGCGGGCGGCAGGAGAGGTCTGCGCGCCATGTGGGACCCTCCTCCGGTGGCCGGGGAGCAGCCGGGGATCGAACCAGCGCCGCAGAGGCCGCGGGCAGCTTCACAACCCAGCGCGCAACCGCTGCGCCACTGGGGAGGCCCAACACTGTACACTTTAACACAGTCTTCACCCCCTACTCCAGTGGTCATAGCCATTTTGCTTTCTGTCTTTATAAATTTGACTACTTAGGTAACTTTTATTAGTGGAATCATACAATATTTGCCCTTTTTGACTCTTATTTCTCTGCAAATTTCATCCATGTTCTAGTTTATGTCAGAATTTCTTTGTTTCTTAAGGCTGAATCATTATTATTATTATTAGTTTAATTATAGTGTGTGTATATATGGATCACGTGTTTCTTATCCACCCACCTGTTGATGGGCACTTGATTGCTTATACTTTTTGACTTTTGTGAATAATACTACTATGACTATCTTTTTATACCCCTAGTTTTGATCCCTTTTGGTATATATTCAAAAATATTTAACAGACTTGCCGGATTATATAATTCTATTTTTAAGTCTATTGAGAAACCACTGTACTGCTTCCCATGGCTGCTGCACCATTTTATATTCCATCAGTAATGCCAAATATTCTGATTCTTCTATATCCTTATGAATACTTGTTATCCTCTACTGTTATTAGCATTCGTTCTTAAAGAGAAATATGAATACTTGTTATCCTCTACTGTTATTAGCATTTGTTCTTAAAGAGAAATATCCTAGTGGGTCAGAAATAATATCTCACGGTGGTTTTGACTTGCATGTTTCTAATTACTAGTGATGGTGCTTATTGGCTATTTGTATATATATATTTGAGAAATAGCTATTCAAGTCCTTTGCCCACTGTTTCTTTGTTGTTGAGTGAAGGAGTTCCTCATATATATCAGATACAGAATTGCTTTTCACTCTGTCGGCTGTGTTCTTTGGTGCACAGATATTTTCTATTTTTTATGTAGTCTCTTTGTTTTGCCTTCTGTTGCCTAATCCCGGTCAAGAAATCATTTCCAAGTAAAGTGTCATGGAGCCTTTTTTAATGTTTTCTTCTAAGAGTCTTATAGCTTTCACTCTTAGAGTTATTTGAGTTTATTTTTTGCATATTTTGAAGCATCTTTCGACTAGATTGACTATTAGATATCCCAGGCAAAAGCACAGGCTGAGTTGTGGAGCTCTTTGAGAGGAAAACAAAATGTTCACAGAATCCCAAGTGAGTGGTAGAGTGGAGTGTTGGGAGCGAAGACTGCCAATATGAGGCCTTAAATGCTATCATGCACTTGGATATATTTTTAAATGCCCACCATGATCATAGTTGTCGTTGAGAATGATCAGTCTAGAGGTGTGTGAAGGATGGGCAGAGTGTAGTGAAAAGGAAGTCTGGGAGACCTGATGGAGGTTGCCACTGGGGAGCAGATGAGAGGATTTGAAGGGTAGGGGTAGTGATCAGGTAGGAGACTCACAAGGTAATTAAGGCAGAAATTGGTGACTGGGTGTAGGGGTTGAAAAAGAGAATAATATTTAGGATAATTAATAGTTTTCTTGCTTGTTGATGAGGTTTGATTCACTGAAAAAATGCATGATGTAAATTCCTTGAGTGCAGGAACTTTTGTCAGTTTGAGTCATTTCTGTATCCTTTTTTTTTTTTTAATTTAAATTTTATTTTTATATTCCCCATACAATTACAACCCCCTTATTTTTACCCTAAGCCCTCCTTTCCCCGCCCCCCACCCTCCATAGAGAGTCTCTTGTTCATAGTTATTTGTTGATTTTGATATTTTCTTTCTTATAGTTATTCTTTTTCCTGGTCCCTTATTTAAGTTTTCTAGATTCCTGCTATGAGTGAGACCATCCGGTATTTTTCTTTTTCTTTCTGGCTTATTTCGCTGAGCATGATCCCTTCCAGCTCCATCCATGTTGCTGCAAATTGCATGTGTTTATCTTTTCATTTCTGTATCCTTAATGCCTAAAACAGTGTGCCTGACACATAGTAGGGATCAAGTATGTATGTGATAAAAGAGTTAGCAAAGAAATGGAAGATTTTCAGAGGGGACTGAAGGTGAGTTCAGTTGCAGACATCAGTGTAACAAATAATTGGTAATTTAAAAATATCAACATTGATAGGAATGTAAATTGTCACTTAGAAGGCAATTTGTCAATATGTATCAAAAACTTTGAAAATGAGTATATCCTTTGCTAAAGTAATTCTTGTCTAAAAATATATCCTTTAACAAAATAACCTTGATTATATACATGACATCTCAAGTTTGTCAAATTCAGCATTGCTTAAGTAATGATAAAATAGACATGATCAATTCTGGTTTCTTGTTTAAATAAAATAGAGTATAATCAAAGCAACGAGGGGAAAAGTGATGCAATTTCTATATTAATGCTATGGGAAAATATCCATTGTGTATTTTAAGTGAAAATTTCAGACGACAAAAGGGAGACACCAGATAACCACATTTGGGGATAATTATCAGTGCAGTATAATTTTGGGTGATTTTTATTATTTATTCCACTTTTTAAATTTTCTGCAACGAATGTGTACTGCTTTTATAATAGGCTAATAAGCATACCTATTTTTAAGATGTGCACCTTGAGTTCAAGAAGCAAGTTTTCTCTGGAAATTCAATTTCATTGGCAGCATGGTAGGATGCAATTGTGAGATGCAAAAGAGAAGAATACAAGACACCATATTTAAGAAAGAAGCAAAAAATAAACCACCAAACCTAAAGAAAAAAATGAAAGAAGTAGGGAGGATCTCAGAGAGAAAGCAGTGTCAGGGGAGTCCCCAAAAGTGAAGTTTCAGGGAGGAAGGTTTGCTTAGCACCAACAGCAGAAGGTCTGAGCAAGGAAAACACTGATGGACTGGTGCTGGAGTAGGTAGCTTCAAGGTGGTGGATGGCAGCCCCCTCAAAGGAAGAAAAGCAGCCATGGAAAGAGCTGGTGTGGAAAAAGGGAGAGATGAGTGAGTGTAGACAGCAAGTATAGGTAACTTCCATGCAATTTAGCTTAAAGGGAAGAAATGAGACGCAGAGGGTAGAAAGCATGGTGTGCGGGGCAGGGGTGAGGGGGTGATTTGGCAAACTAGCCTCACCTGCCTGTGATATGCTATTTTGTGCTCTTTCTCTCTGCGCTGGGAAGGCCAGATGATCTGGATGGAGTCCATGCGGTGCATGATATACATGTGCTCCCCAAAGCTCCGCAGCCTGCAAGAGCTGGAGGAACGGAGGATGCATCTTTCTGATATCGCCCCCCATGATACCACGCGGGATCTCATCCTCTTAAACCAGCAGCGGTTGGCTGAGATCGAGCTGTCCAACCAGCTCGAGCGGAAGAAGGAGGAGCTGCGTATCCTCTCCAAGCACTTAGCCATAGAAAAGAAGAAAACAGAGACCTTGCTTTATGCCATGCTGCCTGAACACGTGGCCAACCAGTTAAAGGAGGGCAAAAAGGTCGCTGCAGGTAAGGCAGTCCCTGCCCCTTGCGGTGTCTGCGCAAGAAACAGCGAGCCTGCATGGATTGAGGCACAGACTCTGAAACCAGATAGACCCAAGTTTGAATTTTGGCTCCATTATTTGTTAGCAACATGATTTTTGGTTAATTACTTAAGTTGCATATCCTCAGTTTTTTTTCTCTCTGCGTTGAGAATAGTAAAAATATATAGGAGTGAAATATGGGTTAAATTAAAATGCCTGTCTACACACACGCGTGCTATGTTAACTATAAGGACATGTGTTATATTCTCTAAGGATTTAAAGCTGTGTCCTAAGATTGGCTTCTTTGCTCAGGGACCATGAATAGAGTTCTTCACTATAAATCGAAGAGTTACATTCCCACTTTAATGAAATCATGGAGTGCCTCTAAGGACCGTCAGGGAGGGCCAGCTCTTTCTGGAGGGAAGGATGCCATGTTCACTCCTCACTCACCTTCCATTTATCACAGGCATGTGTTCACTTACCAGACTGCGTGGTGAACTTACTCCTGCCAGAGTGCTGTCCTGGGCCGTGGGGACCCAAAGCCAATCGCAATCGTGTGGCCACAGAATGAATTAATAGGGAGGAAGGGGCTGGAAAGCACTTGAATCCAGAATTCACAGAATTATTACTCTATCTTCTTGGCTATCACTGACACCTGGTTTATGTTGCAGGAGAATTTAAAACCTGCACAATCCTTTTCAGTGACGTGGTGACATTTACTAACATCTGTGCTGCCTGCGAACCTATCCAGATAGTGGATATGCTAAATTCTATGTATTCCAAGTTTGACAGATTAACCAGTGTCCATGATGTCTACAAAGTAAGTGTCTGTGTATCTGGTGCATGTCTGTTTCAGTGTGCTCAGGCAGGCAGTTGCTTGCCATGGGGCTTTCTTGCCTCTCTCTTCACTGTGTGTGAATTGATATGGGTAGGATTGGGGTATGGAGGAAGAGCTAAAAGGGAATTGGAAGTATTTTAGCAATTATTTTATAATACCCAGTGCTAAGATGTCTTTGAGAAGCAGACACTGTTTACCCAGAGAATAATTCTCCTACTCCTTAAATTTCTCAGTCTAATCTAGGAAATATATATCTAATATACAGCATCATATGACTATGCCAGGGAGCTTCATCTTCTCTGGGATTTATTTCCTCCAAAAGCACAAAGACCTTTGGCCCTCTTATAGTTGGTCCTTGAGACCTTGAGACTTTTTTCTTGTTGTCTTCTCCCTCATGCTTCATACACCACTAACAAATAATCATCAGCTTTAATATGGTTCTTCTGTCAATAGGTGGAAAATTAAAAATATATTTAGGGTGATATATTTAGTAAGTTAGTATTCAAAATCCCCCCCTGAATACCTTTTTTTCTTCCCTCCCAGGTGGAAACAATAGGAGACGCTTATATGGTGGTAGGGGGCGTCCCAGTGCCCATTGGAAGTCATGCTCAAAGAGTGGCTAACTTTGCCTTGGGGATGAGACTTTCTGCAAAAGAAGTGATGAATCCTGTTACTGGAGAACCCATCCAGGTAGACATCAATGGCACACTTGGCTTAATACCAATCATCTCACACAAATAAGTAAAATTCTTTTTATCAGTCCCTCAGGTGATTGCTGTTATATTAATATTGCTGTTATAATAATTTTAATAGCAATGGGTAATTTGCAATTTTCTTTCTCTTCTCTTACATATGTTGCTAAGTAATAGAGATATTAGTCAAGATAACATTGTCCCAACTTCTCTCAAGTTTCAGAAGAGGCTTTGGAGTTGGGAACTTTCTGTGAATGCTTCCTTTGTCCAGAGTGTGGGACAGGGTTGAGTGTGTCTCTTCAGTTAGTTTGTGGGACTCAATCCACCTTGGAAGTCAGCTCATTTATAATTCCTGTTTTCTTGTTCAGTCATTTCAACAAGTGGTTCGGGCTTACTAAATAGCTAACTTTTCATCGCTTAAGGAAATTGTATATCCAACATGCCGTCTGACAGGTTCAGAACTCAGGCTGAGGTGTGAAAATGCTGCCAGCCAGCAGGCTAGACACCATGGTGCCATAAGATATTCAGCATAGCATTCCTTCCAGCATGGCTATTAGTGGGACATCTGCTCGCCTTTCTCACAGGAAGCTGCTCTTCCAAGTACAGAAGTTTGTTCACACTATAAAAGTCAGACAATTTTGGAGATTGAGAGTAGGTGTCTTCGTTTGTCTGCTCAGCAGATCCTAGCCTCCCAAGATGGCAGCGTCTCTGCCTCTTAAAATCAAGAAGCCTGCCCTGCTCCTGTCAGTCACATACTCGAAATAAACTAAAAAAACAACTAAAAATAAATAAAGTCAATTGTAAGATGGAATGTGGTTTTCCAAATTATAACCCTTATGCAGGAGATTCTGAAAATGGCTATGCTCCCCTCATCCTCACCACCACAGTTAGAGCTGAGGTCCTGGCTATTATGTCCTCTGTAGTCTTCGTAGCAAAAGCTAACTACGTAATCGTAAGAACGGCATATCTACAATACTTGGTTTGTTGTACACAGATATGAATAAAACCCTAACTAGGTAATAAAAAATCACGGTAGGAGGCAATGGAGGAACAGAGGTAGGGTTAGGCAAGAGAAAAGTGTATTAGTTCAATGACTATAATATAAGCCACTGCAAAAAAAAATTGAAAATTATATTGTGTGTAAATAAAAAGTATGTGTGTACATGTGAGAATACGGAAGAGACATAGCAACATAGAGGGAAAAAATTCTATACCGACAAGAAAGAAATTAAACGATGAATTCCTGGGAACTCTTATGGTGGACTTACCAAGAAGAAAACAGGAAAAGATACTTTCAAGTCTAAGAATAGCGATGTATTTAGCAGCATCATACATCTACCAGAAACAGTATACTGTGTAGATTTATTTAAGGAAGTAGGGAAAATGACTGAAAACATTTTCATTCTTAAGAGAATTATGCTGCCCTGTCTACAGTTTTAAAATTAGTACTCTTTGAGATTCTTGATTATTTCATTTATATACTCCTTGGTATACATACACTGTGATATTATTATGCATGAGACAGTCTCACTAACTGCTTTCAAGGATTAAGAGAAATATGTTACAGGCTCCTTTTCCTAGAGGAATTTATAGTGTTATTTCAGGGAGAAGAAGATCCAGCATGAAAAGACAACTAAATCTCTCTAGGATATAGAAGTTGCAAGAGAATGCTGTTCCCACACTAGTGGTTTTTTTTTAAACCCACCGGAGAGCAAAGAAATATAGATGAAATGAATTTTAAAAAGTGACAAGATTTTTCAAGGAGCATACCCATAATTATATTCATCCCAAGTAGAGAAATAATCCATCGAGGTGAGGGTAAGAATAGAACAGTCTAAATTTTAGTGAACTTTTATTTTTTTTATATAATTTATTTATCTGTATATATTTTACATCATTGTTCATTTTTGTACAATGTTTGCTTTCTCCTTTCTAGTGTAGTCCCTATAGAATTCCCACCACCAATTCACCCGTGCACCATCACCATACTCCCTTGTGCTCTTCCCTTCTCTGTTTTGATCCCTCTCCCTCTCCCTCCACTGCAGGATGTCTCTGATTTGTAGTTGCCAGTTATTTTTTTTTAATTTATTGTTTTATTTTCTTCTGATCCCTTATTTGGTTCCCCTATATTCCTCCTACAAGTGAAACCATCCGATACATGGATGGAGCTTGAAGGGATTATGCTCAGTGAAATAAGTCAGAAGGAAAAAGAAAAAAATTAGTGAACTTTTAATGGCCACATGGGGGCTGCAATGACAGGATCCTATAGATCCTGTCTTTGAGAAATCCTAACCACAGATCTGTACTCATTTAGCAACTCCTTCCACAGTACTTCACGAAGTTCGTGGATTATTCAAAGTCTAGAGGTAAGGGAGGAAAGCTGAGAGAGCTCCCCATTCTCTGAAGTATGTAGAACCTTTCAAAAATGCAAAGCACTGCCTTTAGGAGGCTCCCTCTGAGGCAGGTTTGGTCTTCACCAAGTGTACCGTGATAACCATTGAAGTCTTGAGGCAGAGAAGAATGGTAGAGAAAAATCTCCTAAGGTACAGAGAGCCAAGGTGGGGCTGAAGATATGGGAAATGCCCCCAAATATCACTATTAGGCTATAAAGCAGATATCTCCCATTAGTCAAAAAATTAGTGACTTGACTGAAATCAGGAGGCTCTCTTCCTTACCAGCCTTACTGGTAAGGAAGTCCTCATTCCACCTTCATGATATCTGGAACTAGTGCTGCTTAGATGCTAACACTGCCACTGAGAGACCCAGATCCAAATCAAACACAGATTAAATCCACCCAGTCTCCACCCCAGCCATTTGCCAGGAGTGGTATAAATTTTTCTGAGGAGGAAATATCATCTACTTCAGTCTCTATCATACTTTCGCACACAATATGGGACATATTTTTGAGTAATTTAAAATGTGAGGTGCAGGAAGAAACAAGAAAAATGGCAGTGTGGTGGATAGTCACAGGAGGAATAGGCCCAGGGACGGCCTGGGTGTGGGTTATCAGACAGAGTCTTAAATCTGACTATGATAAAGTTTCAAATAGAAAAGGGGAACAACAGTTCTGAAGAGGTAGGAATTTATCTAGCCATTCATCCATTCATGGATCCATCCATCCATCCAATGGAAATGAAAATGATAACAGAAATAAAATGTCATTTCATGAGCTTAACAGAGACTAGACACAGGAGAGGAAATGATTAGGGATTCTGAAGACAGAGCAATAGAAATTGAATAGAAAAGAAATGAAATATAAAGAAGAAAACAGTGCATCCTAGGGGTGTAGTCTATATCAAATAGACTACTGTATCTAGAACTAGAGTCCTAAAAGAATAGTGTTAGAATGGGTCAGAAGAAATATTTGAAGGGGTGATTGTTGAAATTTTTTTAATATTGATCAAGGATATCCATCCCTATATCTATGAGAGCTTCATAAACCCATACAAAATAGATACAAAACAAACATTTCTCTTTAGGTACACCCAAAACCCTAGTCAAACATGCAAGAAAAAGAAATATAAAGCATAAATTGAAAAGGAAGCAGTTAAGTGATCACTATTCATAGACCAAATAATGACACACCTAAAAATCCTTATACAAACTATCTATCTAAAAAGTGGGCTTACCACCTCACAGTATACAGGACAATACCCAAAAATTTGTTGAATTTCCATATACTAAGGACCAAAAAATTGGAAAATGGAATAAAAACAGATTATTTAAATCTTGGAAAATAACAAAATTGGAGAACTTTCATTATCTAATTTCAAGTCATTCTAAGGTCACAGTAGTAAAAACAACAGAAATGGCAGAAGGAAAGAAAAAATAGATCACTAAATCAGTATAGAATGTCCAGAAATAAAAGATACATTTAAGGCCAACTGATTTTTGACCATATCCACTTATAAAGAAATGGTTTTGTTCCAATTGACTATCCATACGAAAAGAAAAATGTATCCCAATCCTACTTCATTCCCTATATAAAAATTAATTTGATATGAATCACGTGCCTCAACATAAATGCTGCAACCATGAAACTCCTTGAAAGGAAATGTAGCAGAATAGCTTTGCTTCATGGTTTTGAGATAGGCAAATATTTTAGGACACAAAAAGCAGTAACCATAAAAGAAAGAAAAAAGATCTAAACGTCATTGTTTTGGATCAAATTGTGTTCCCCCATTAAGTTTGTTTTGTCTTGTTTTGTTTTGTTTTTTTGTGGGACCCTTGCCGGCGACCAGGGAATGAACAGCCTCGCAGCCCAGCACTCAACCGCTGCGCCACCAGGGGAGGCCCCCCATTAAGTTTGTATGTTGAGGAGTGTGCAAGATTGAGGGGTATGCAAGCTAAGGAAAGAGGAAGCCTTGGAAAACCAAAGCCCCCAACCCCTTGATTTTGTACTTCCAGGCTTCAAAACTGTGAGAAAGTAAATTTCTGTTGTTTAAGTCACTGACTTTGTGGTATTTTGTTAGGATACCCTCAGCAAACTAATGCAGTCATCAAAATCAAAAATTCCCACATTCCAAAGAAAAGACTATACCAACCCACAGAATAGGAAAAATATTTATGATATGTATATATCACACAGCCAAGTGTATATATGCTCTCATATATTGACAATGAAAGTTTAAAAAAAACCAGCTTTTAAAATGAACAAAAAAACTTAAACAGACTTTTCACAACAGATCTGTGAGCGGACAGTACAGGCATGGAACACCCTCACATCATTAGTCGTCACGTTACTACACTTGATCTTAGCCAAAAGGCCGAGAAGCAATAGCCGTCACGTTACAACCATGAGCAACCATTTCACACCTACCAAATGCAGTGAACACGTGGAGCAAATCAAAGTGTCACGTTGCTGATAGACTCTAAAATAGTACAAAGACTTTGGAGAATTATTGGGCAAGGGATTTTTTACTTTTATCTTTTTGATGTTAAGTATACATCTACCTTGTAATCCATGAATTCCAATTCTGGGTATTTACTTGAAAAAAATGAAAATATATGTTCACAAAAATAAATGTAAAAATGTTCCTAACAGCTCTAAAGTGGAATCGACCTACATGTTTATGAAGAAGCCTAGATAAATAGTGATATATTTTGAAATAGAATAGTATTCTGGAATAAAAGAATGAATGACTGACACGTACAACAATATGGACAAATCTCACAAACATTAATTTGGACAAATGAAGCATGATGCCAAATAGAATATACTATATACTTCCATTTACATGAAGTTCTACAGCAAGCAAATTCATCTTTGTTAGAAGAAATAAAAAGCCAGTTGCCTCTGCAGGGAGGAATAACATGTAACTGGAAGAGGGCACGAGATAATTTTGCAAGGTAATGAATTAGTTTATCTTTTAATTCATATGGCAACTATAGGGATAGATATCCACGTATACATGCTCTTGTCAAAACTCATGGAAAGGTCTGTCTCTCTTATGCATATTATATCTCAATCTAAAAGCAAGAGTGTCTGATGGTCCCTGTTAAGTGAGGTTCTCTCTGCACAGATCAGAGTGGGGATCCACACAGGACCAGTCTTAGCAGGTGTCGTGGGGGACAAGATGCCAAGGTACTGCTTGTTTGGTGACACCGTGAACACAGCATCTAGGATGGAAAGTCATGGCCTTCCTAACAAAGTGCACCTCAGCCCCACGGCCTACAGGTAGTCATTCAGTCATTCATTTATTCTGGCCTTCCTCTGTTCCTCCGTTCTTCCAGAACCAGAGTGCCTAGTAGCCATGGCATGGGGGTAGTGGAGGAAACCTGTGATTTTTCACTTATAATACATGACTTAGATTAGACATTATGTCAAATGATAAATATTGTTGAGCTTCAGCTATAAGATAGATTCTACTCTTAAGAAGTGTGTGGTCAAATGCAGGGATTGGCAGATTATAGCCAAAAGGCCAAATCCAATTTGCTGCTTGGTTTTGTAAATAAAGTTTTATTAAACATAGCCATACTCCTTTATTGACACATTATCTATGACTGCTTTCAAGCTATAACAGCAGAGCTGAGTAGTTGTTACAGCATTGCCTGTAAAGCCTAAAATATATACTGTCTGATCTTTTACAAAGGAAAGTTTGCTGACCCTTTTTGTCTAGTGGGAGAAGAAAGAAATATATTTTAAAAGCATGACAGCACAATGATAAAGTACAATGATAAAGATCTGCGCAAAACTATACTTATGGTTTCTTAACACCTTCCAAGACCCTATGATTCTATTTTAAGTTCTTTTACATATGTTAGTTCATTTACTGTTGCAACAACTCCATGAAGATGTATTATTCTTCTTTTCTACAAATGAGGGAAAAATCAGGCAAAAAAGCTTAATATCGTGCCTTAGTTCAAAAGCAACGAGGAAGGAAAAAGCCTGAATATGACGGGGGGGTAAGGTTGGGCTCAAACCACTTTTTTAACTACTTTGCTCTCACACCAAGGGAATTACAGTGTGTGTGATGGGGGCCTAGCCCTAAGCACCTGAGCCAGTGAGACAATTCTTTGTTGAAAAGGAGATTCCAGCTCAGTCTTCAACAAGGAGTTTCAGAGTGGGAATTAGCCCACGCTGGGGTACTGAGAGTGAAAAAAAAGCAGCACAGCACAGATGTCCAAAGTCCACAAAGCACCACAGCAGCTTAGCTTTATTGGAGTAAGACTCTGAGTCAGGACGAGGCGAGAGCTGCGCGTGGGCCCTGCTGCAGGACAAGGACTTGCCTGCTGGTGAGGAGGAGCCCGAGGAGTGTGACGCTGGAGGCAATGGCAGGGCCACGGTCCTGTTTAACCAAGGATGTCCGTTTTTTTTTTTTATTCTGTACAGTGCCCTGGAAAATCAAGGGTTTGAGATCATCGAGAGGGGTGAAATCGAAGTGAAAGGTAAAGGAAAAATGACCACGTACTTTCTGATCCAGAACCTGAAAGCCTCAGAGGACGAGATCATGGGCAGGCCGCCGCTGGGTCACCAGGGTAAGCTCGAGGGAGGAGTCCTGTCAATCGTGCCCAACATTTTTTTCACTAACAAATCCAGGTTTGTTTAGTGTGGTCCTTGGGTTGGCTGGGTCAGCGCGGGTGTCGCCCCCCACACCCATCTGCTGCCTCCTGTTCAGGAGATCTGAACTCCCTTCTCTTGCACCCCTGATGCTAAGCTGTTGCTTGAACTGGGCTGATGGACCCAAATAAAGGGTCCCTCATATTCGTTTTTAAGGCTCTACCCTGTCCACAAAAGGGATTGTTTTGGGTCCCATTCTCCTGATAAAGAAACTGAGAGAGAAAGAGCTAAATTAAAAACTGGAAGTGAAGACCAGGAGTGACCATCCTTTGAGTTTTTGGGCCCTGACCATGCCCACTGACATCACTCCATTCTCTTACCAGTATGCCCGCCCCCCCCCCCCCCAGAGTGCAGAGGATTGCTGGGGAGAGATAAACAAACATTTTTTTTTTTCCTTTTCTTTTCTGTTTTCAGAAATAGAAAAAGTAAAGGGGAAGGGTGCTTATGACACTCGATTGTGAGGGGAAAGCACAGCTGGAGGCCTTAGCAGCCGATAGAAGGTGTATCTAGCTCAAACCAGACACTGCTCTTGCCCATGCCCGCTGGAGGGGCTTTCCCAAACTTCCCAGCTTGGGAAACAGGATCTGGAACGTGGTATGGGTCAGAAGACTCTACCCCACTTTCACTTCTGTGCCGGACAAAACAAGAACAAAAAACAAACCACTGAGGATAGAATGAGTAAGGGTTGCTCCATTAAAGTCTCAACCTGGACCCTGAGAAAGAAGGGGAAGAAAGGGAGTGAAGAGGGGGGAGGGGATAGCCCCTCCCAGACCCGGAACATCTGTGCAGATTAGGAAAAGCATCCCTTTGGTGGGGCTCCCTGAGACACGCTTACTGCAGAGGACAGGCCCCCTTCTGCTGGTCCCCAGCCTGGTTAGCTCTGTCCTTTCAGAGGAACAGCAGGACCCCAGATGCCGAACTCAGAGAGGAGATTTCCGTCCTTTCTGGCTTCACTAGGTTTCCCAGGCTTTTGTCCCCATCACTCCAGGGGCTCATGCCGTGAGCCTCGACTGTCCTTGGGGGAAGGGGTGACTTTCTGTCCAGCCTCCCCTCCCATCTCCACCGGAGCACAGTGTCGGCTGTTCGAGCGGGAAGATGAAGGCCAGGACCTCCCAGGGATGCCCCCCTGCTGGCGGCTCTCCTCCCTAAGTGTCTAAGTGGCTTGAGAACAAGACCCCACTGACCTCTGGGTGCAGAGGAACTTTCTCCGACACAGCAAGACCAAATAAAAGAGGGGGAGAGAAACGCTACCTGCATGCCTGTGCTCTTCCCGAATTAACCTCTCCCATCAGGTCATCCCATGGGACACACTCTTCAGTGACTGGGGAGGCCTGGGAGGGAGACTGCCGTGAACTTCCAGTGACTCACCCCGCGCAGTGAGCAGTATGAGCCAGGGCTCCACCGCAGCCGCGCAGGGGGAGACGAGCCTGCCCTGCTTGCCTGCCCTCCCGTGCCTGCCCTCCTTGCCTGCCCTCCTGTGCCTGCCCTCCCGTGCGGTGGAGCTGAGAGCCACCCCCTCACCAGGTGGGAAGACAGGAGCGCAGGCCCTGGGGGGCTCTTCATCCTCTTTTCTCCTCCTTTGTTCTCAAAAGCAGGTGCATTTGCTGTTCTTCACTAGATGGCGAACACATTAAACGTATTACATGTCCAAGAGCACGCCAGCACTGACATTTAACAGTTGGAACCTCTGGTCCTTCACACTTGACACCCAAGGGGCAGCTGTGTTCATAGGCAAAAAGACAGACCCCTCCTCTCCTCATGCAGTCGGCTCACGCTTGGCCTCTCCCCTTTCCTGCCCCTCATGCTTTATTAATTAATTAATTTATTCATTCATTCATTCATTCATTCATTCATTTTTTGCAGAGGCCGGTGCTCAGGGAAGCCAAGGTAGCAAAGTCGTTGCCATCTTTAGGTACGCAGACAACCAGCAGCTGCGTCCCCCAAAGAAAGAGACAGCAGAAGGTGAGTGCAGCAGACAGGTGCATGGCACTGCTGGCTGTAAACAGGATCACTGGGCATAAGGCATGGCTCATGGGGGATAGAAAGAGCCAGAAGGGACATCATTTGTGAGTGTGGGCCCTCATCTTAGGGCTCATGAATGGTTGCCTCGCTGTCTTTTGAATACACTGTTGTTGTTGTTATTATTATTAACCTATCCACCTTCTTTCCCACTCCAAGAGTCCCCTTCAGTCTATAAGGGCCCTTTATGTCCTCCTCCCAAGGAAATTTCTAGTACCTAGAAAAACTCATTATTCCTCATGTGGCCACAAAATGAACTCGGGGCACCATGCCCTCCAAGGCAGGGGCTCCTTGCTCAGCAGTGCCCAGCTTCTCCCCTTCCCACCGGGTGGTGCCCTCGGGACACTGGTACAGTCAGTCACCCAATGTAGACTCACAACCCCCTCGCACACTTGCACACTTGTCCCTGAGGGCATTTGGGAAGGAAGGTTTCTCCCACCTCATGCCCATGCTTGAGACTCAGAAGTCCTCAGGAGCCATTCTCAGCACTGCCACAGCTGGGTTTGGGGTGCAGGGTCACAAAGGAGCATGAAGAACCAGGGCTGGGCGAATGAGTTGCTGTCGCAGCGGCAGCCACCCCCCCACCCCCCTCTGGCCTTGGGGGCCCCTCTCCCTTTGACAAACCCTCTGTTCAGTGACCCAGATAGAGCTGAATGTTCCAGGCAGTCATGTATGTGTCACAGAAGGCCGTGTTCCAGGGAGTTTTCAAAAGCTATCCCAGGACCCTGAGACAATGTCTCAAAACTAGTGTAAATCCATGTGAAGCGTTAGAACAATTTACTAATCCATATACATAAAGAGTTTGGCTTCATTATTCTTAGTATCTCCTGGCTGAGTGTCACTGAGCTACTGCTGTTGGGCACTGACCCAGCACCTGCAGAATCTGAGGATGAGGGAAACAAGAGTAGCTTGTTTGGGGGACAAGAGCAGCTTTAAACAGACTTTCTGCCATCACCGGGAGGCATTTTCCTTCCCACCCATACCCTCCCCCACGTTTCCGACAGGGTTCAAGCCCTGAACAGTCATCCCCTGCTACTACAAGCTCTCACTTTCACGGATTCAACAACATTCCTCGGGAAACTGCTGATGGTCTAGGAAGTCAGGGTCAAAGCCAGGCACCGTCCTGGGATCGCTCCATGCTAGAGTCATGGGGATGACGACCAAGGAAGTCTCCTTGCAGGTGCAGTACTTTAGCTGCATTGTACAAGAGGGGAAGGAGCCAGCCTGACAGAGAAGGGGTTTCCAGGCAGCGCTGTGCCCTGGACCTCAGGGAGAGGGGGCACTGCAGCTTGGCGGATGTGAAGGAGAGAAAGAAGGCCAGTGTATCTAGAGGGTGTGGAAGGGAATGGAGCCGTGGGTCAAAGCTGGATGTGAGCCTGGAACAACCTGGCCTTGGCTCACCTCTGCCCACACAGCGAATACGAGCAGGAGGTCTGGGGTGAAGTGGGGAGCTGTGAGGCTCTGAGGGAACATTCAAGGGGAAAAGGTCATTCAGAGTCCATCCAAAGTCCTCAAAGGTGCTCCATAAATAGCAGGGAAGGGAAAGTTGAAGAACTCCTTATGTTCCAAGAAGGTGAACAAATTCACTTTCAAAATTCTGTTATATGAGGTCCTACCAGGGAGAAACCAACAGGGCCAGGCAGGGCTGTGTGTCTTGTTTACAGGTGAGAGGCAAAAATTTACCAACTGGGCCTGGATACAGTACCTCTTCCAACTATGGCTTTGTTGTTCCAAAACCAACACCAACTGGAGAAGAATGGAGACCACCTCTGTTTGGGGTTGGGGCCTGGAAGGGTGGAGAGCATTTGTTGGGCAGCTGCTTTTATACATATTATCTCATGTGATGCAATAGTCTCTTGGCTATTCCTATAAAGAGGTAGAAACTTGAACTTCAGAAAGGTTTTATCTTTTATATGAGGTCTCACAACTAGCCAAGTGGAAGAAGTAGAACTTGATCTTCAGGCTTGTGTCCCGAGCCAGCCTGGCCCCGTGAGACCTCTTTGAGCAGCAGGCCAACATGATTTCATAGTTTCCCCAAGAGGTAGGCCACCACCCTGGACATCCTGGCCTCACAACGGCACCGGCATGTTTCCCTCAGGTCCTCTGGGCCTCATCTGAACAGATTTCTGACGACTGGGTGTGACTAGCAGGTGACACACTGTGAGTGAATGATGATCTGTGTGGTGTGAGCCAGAGGCCTAGAGAAATGAGGACACAACCGATTGGGCCTTTGGACCTCAGTCTAGGAACCCAAGTTTGACCTTCTGAATCAGAAATTGTTTTTGACAACTTGCCCAGGTAATTCAAGTTTGAATTCATCACTGACACACCTTTCTTAACTCTGATGGCCAATCACAGACATAAAATTTAGCCTTGATGAGTTTCTGTCATCTGCCCCCAAGGTCAGCTATGGTTCTAGATCGCTTGGGGTCTTCAGCTACATTGCTATGTCATTCTTACCTCTGAGGAAGGTGGAGGGTACCAAAGAGTCACTCTAGGACCCCCACTCTCATATCCACCTCAAAGCCATTCCACCTGCCCCCTATGTGGGCATCTTGGGGAATGTTCCCTTCAGAAGCCAAAGTCCACCAGGACTCTTTAGATCAGGCTGTTGTCTCCCTCAGAGACCTGCCTGTTTCCCAGTCTCCAGAAATTGAGAGGATATTCAAGGCTCACCTCATCGGGCATGTGTCCCATCTACCTCACTAGGTGGTCACTTGGTTGCCAACCTTGTGATTGCTCTTCTGGGATGTGCCTCCCTTTTGACTTGGCTCCTGATGGAGGGAGCAGGTGCTCCCCTGCCTCCTTCTCCTTTGCCCAGTGGTTCAGGAAAAATATGCCAGGACCTTGGCAGAGACCCCTCTCTGAGATGTGATGCTCACCCTCCCCCAGAACAATTTAAAGGGGGCCTCCCTGAATCTCTTCAAGACTCCTGTAAGTCAAGGGCAGGGGGCGAGAGGAAGCACTCTCTGGGATCCTGGCCTGTGGCACCCCGGATCTGGTTTGCATTTCAAAAATACACTTTTCTTGCACTCCACCGTGTGTCTGGGTGTTAGATGTGTCCATAGAGAGACTCAAAACCAGTGTATGTTGACTCAGATATTTAAGCAATCACCTTTCAGTATTGACTAAAGAATTGGCCTTTCAGCTTTCTCTGCTGGCAGGCTCTTCTGGCATCTTGTCAGATCCTGTTAATCTGTTTTTCAATTTCAACTTGCTTCAACTTGTCTCCTAACTGATTCTCCTGACAATTATAGTAATGGGTTCCAGGCTGACCTGCACACAGCACTTAGGCAAGTGGCCCAGGCTCCTTTCTGGAGGTGACCCCTCCTTATAAATCATGGTCTGAGGGTGTCCACTTGGTGGATCATGGCAGGTTAAGATAAGGACTTCTTACACCAACTCCTAGTCTTTCCTCTGGAGAATGTTAGTGGCCGAGGTCTCTCTACTGAACATGTATAGGGTTTAGCGTTGTGCCTGCGGTTTGTTGCTGAATTTCTCCACACTTGACTCACTCTTCCCAGTAGGAAGAACTTTCCCACCATCCACAGCCCTCAGTGGGTAACTCTTGGGTGGGTTTGTGGTCACTTAAGGTCCTTGCCCTCCACAAGAGTCTTGACAATACAAGCCCTTTTCCCAGGCTTGTCCAATGACTTGGGGGCCAGCTGGTTTGGAGCCAGGCTAAGGTGCAGGGGCCCCCATTCTTGGCCCTGAGGTCTTTATAAATGTGACTGTCAAACTTTCCTGACTCTTTCAACTTGGGGTTGATGAGTGGCATAGCTGTGTTGGAACTGGGCCTTTCTAGAAGTTGAGCTGTTAACCCAACATTATTCTATAGAAGGAGGTCTCAGAAGGTGTGAATGAATCTTTACAAATGAGGAACTTGCTAGCAGAGGAACATGTGACTTTCTGTGTTAGGCATCTAGAGACACTTGTCACACTTGGTCAGGATGCAGAATGAGACCTGGTCGGTGTGGGAAGGCAGCAGGTGACAGGGCAGCAGTCATCTGTGACTGACAATGCAGATGTCCAGGGCTCACCCCAGTGCTAACTTAGTAGGTCCAGAGGCAGCCTTCAGCTCTGGCCTGTCACCCATCTTCACTGGCCCCCTGAAGAGTGGCACATCTAGGGAAGCACCGTCATGGTGGAAAGAGCATTTGGTTGATATTATTAATAGGTTTCCCAGGCCTGCAGGCAGGCAATAAGCATCAGTGTCACTGGGCAAACCCCTTTCACTTCATTTTTCCCTGTTCCAAAGCAGGGGTAATAGGATACCTGTTTTACAGGGTGGCTTTGAGGAATATGAAAGATACTAACTACCCTCTGAAAACTGTGAAGAAACTGTGAAGTGCTGAAGACGGGTCAGGTTTTCCAAATAATCATTTAGGGACCCCGCTGTTGGGAATTCATTCACTTAGCAAATCGATGAACCTTCGTACAGAAAGGCAGACAGGCGCTCTGTAGCTCACTAATGCAATAATCCCTTCTTGTCACCCCACGTTATGACCTCCACGACCAAAGCCCTGTAACAGCCAACCAGGGACCCAAATTCCACCTCTATTCCCTCCAAACCTGATGTTGCTCCATCCAGCCTGCACTGCAGCCCTCTACCCCAGCTCACCTTTGACAACATGGTCCATGTAATGGTTGTTTTCCAAACAGGGGAAGATTCTTCTGCACTCTTTGCTTCACCCATTCCTAAGCTAGCTGAAATGAGTTTTGGGGCTGCTTGTAGTTATTTACTGGGCGGCACTGGTTTGCTTAGCTAAATATTTGCTTCTTGACTTACTTTATAGAGGGGATATTTAATTATTGTTGTTCTTATTATTACTGTTTAAAACCAGGAAGTGCACGTAAGCCTAAAGGAAGGACCAAAAGCACCTGTAGTTCTGTCACCCAGAGAGACTGCTTTTAGAATGTTGGTGCCTGTCTTCCCAGACTTGCAGTCATGAGGGTGTGTGCCTGGGACTGCCATGAACGCACTTGTCTTGTAACTTGGCAGGTCATGATTTCTTTCCTTTGAACATTTACACACATTTCCAAACAGAGGAAGGAAATGTTTAAAAGACAGAAAGTGCTTAATATGGAAGAATGGTTTCCCTGTGACTTATGCTGTTACATAAAAGCCACATTTATGTTTACCAAATGGAAACCCCAATCATCTTCTGCTTTTGCACATTTACAGCACATTTGTGATGACCCTGACATCCTGTCCTAAAGTTTGCTCTGAATTTTCCAAGAAAGACTAATCTACTTCAATTTAGGCTTGTTGTTTATATTATTTCAGGCATCTAGATTTCAGTAATCCATGGATTATGTACATTATACATCTCAATTAATCATGAAATCTAATGAAGCAGAAGGCTACATTTCCCAACTGTGCACTGTAATAAATATGGACTGGACCAAAATAATGGTGCTCATGGGCAGTCCTTGGCTGTGAGCAGTGGTCTTGTGGGAGCAAAAGATTGATAGATGAGAATTCATCTCAAGTAAACAAGGGAATTCTTCCACCATCTGTGCTGTGGGATTGGACTGAGGTAAAATGTCAAATAGTTATGTGTGTAGAAATTCCAAGAGAGTCTGAAGATTCTGTGCCAGTTGAGGCTTGTTTGATTTGTCAGGTGTCAGGGACTCTTATTGGTGGAATCCTGTCTCGTCTTGGCTTCCATATGCTGGCTCAGTTCTTCTACCAGCCCAGTCCTTGTGGAAAAGAAAAATCTTTTTCTCCCTGATGATCAGGGATTTTTTTTATTCAAGTACTGAAAAAGGAGGGAGGCAAATGAGTATCATGGAAGTGCCAAGGAAATGGGAGTAGAAACAGAGGGAGAAGGACCACAGTTAAAACTGAGAGAGGACATGAAAATGCCAGGTTAGAGGAGAGAAAAATGGGCCTGGGAGGCAAGAGAAGGAATCAACTCTGACAAACTAAGTTGAAAAGTTTTTGAGAAGTTAGAAGGAAGAAAAATATGAAGAAGTATTGAATGAAGGGGAAAATAAGGTCTATGAAACATTATTTCCTCATGTTTTCATCCTAAATTCTTGCTGGGAGGTGAGGCCAGAAGGCTGATTCTTAATCTTGGGCCTGCGGAGGCCCTGTGCTGTCTGGAGGCAGCGGCGCATTGTGAGTGGGTCCGAGTGCTAATAAAGGGGAAGCTTCCCCTTGCTTCTTATTTTAGCAAATCCAATCCTTTTCTTGCTCAGTTTTGATTTTTTTGGGGGGAGGTGAGGTAATCTCCACTTTTGGTACAATTATAAGGACACAAAACAAACAAGTTCTGTGACCATAATACCATTTTGCATTTTGTGGAGATTTTATCTTAGAGGATTGCACACATTTCTGTAAGTTGAGTGGGAAACGGATGTATGGCTTAGTAAATCTATATCTGGAGAAACTGAGGCACAGAGGGACATTAGAAAGGGGTGGTTCAGTTACCCTTTCTAGTGTGATGGGCAGTTATAGACCCAGGGGAAGATAGTCCTATCTTATCAATAGAAAAAAATGTAATCAACTCCTTTACCCTTTATTTGCTATGATACTTAAACAAAACTAATTTCAGACTTTTCAAACACACTGTCCTTATCATTTATTCTGCCTGTTTCCTTTTTTTGAAAAATTCAATTTCTTTAAAAATAATAGTGCTTACATCCTAAAGAAAAAACACTACTGTAAGGAACTCTGTAGTTTAAAATGAAAGGGATAAATGGTATTTAAAATAACAAAACTAGTAGAGAATTAGAAAAAAAAACCACCTCATTTCTGATAATTAAGAGTTTCCAACGAGCAGGACCATATTGCTGAGCATGAGTCAGTCTTGTGTGAGTGTGTATTTGTGTGTGCATGCACACGTGTACACACTCATGGGGGTAGCTGCTATGGTACTTAAATGAACCTGTAATTAATGACTTCACAGGGAGCCAATTCCAGTTTGCCCACTTTATAGAAATGCTACATCTAAGGGTTTAGGCACCCCAATGCCTCATCAGGTTAAGTCCACTGTGCACATGAGCTAGATTCCATATAGGTCATCACACAGAGTGGCCCTAATGCCATGATTCTAGATGTCCTAGGAACATCCCCCTTCTTTGCTCCAGGGAGTTCTCCCAAATCCTTACCTCATCCTGGTAATATCTAATCACATGGGAAACTGGGGACAGGTCTAGTAGCCAAGTGTTTCCACATCCATGTCAACACTTAGGTTCATTAGGGGCCAGCACATCAGCAAATGAGCTGGTCTCGATCTAATCATCTGTGCTGAAAACTGCTCATTGCTTTTAGTACATTAAAGCAAAGTTAATCATTGATCCAGGTTCAGGAAGAAGTCTGCAGTGCTAACAGCCCTCATGGTGAAAGAAGTCTTTCATTAATTAAATAACGGAAGACTGAGGGTAGAAACCCCTGTCATGTTTCCTGATTTCTCGAATGCTAGATGGACACAAGCCTCAAACCGCATGAGCCTCTCTGACCTTGCATGTCTCTGAAACAATGATTAATGTAAAGAAGAAGTGGGGATGATATATAACTCTAAATATCTTAGTTGCTGACATTTCCGGATGAGACTACAGGGAGAGCAGGGGATGGAGATAGTGACTTCCGTGCAGGCTTCTCATTGCTATCCTCTTGGTCCTGCTCCCTCTCTCCTCAAGATGGCTCACAGTGTGAGGGCCTTCTCTCTGGGCTTCTCCCACGCTTAAATATGAGAACCGGTGCCTCTGAATTTGTTCTCTGTGGGGGCGCTGTGTTCATTACTTTGTGTAACTATCTAATTTAATTATTATAACCACCCTGGGAAGTTGGTGTAATCATTATCTCCCCACTTTCCACATGAGACCACATGAGGCCCAGTGAGCTTAGCCATGAGCAGCGGCAGTGCTGGGTGGGACCTCCGCCTGTGTGAGGTGGATCCTCCAACTCCTGGGTTTTCATGGGGCCCACAGGTCTGAGGACTCTGGGCTCTTGTGTGAGTTATGCACCAGTAAAGATTTGGTAGGTGTTGGGCCTCCCCTGGTGGCGCAGTAGTTAAGCACTGGGCTGTCTCAGCTGCCTGCAGCCTCTGCAGTGCCGGTTTGATCCCCGGCCACTGGCAAGGGTCCCACATGGTGCCAACAGACCTCTCCTGCCGCGCCCACTGCTCCCCTCAGCAGTGTATTTCATTAGTCTGCCTGTTCTGTTCCCCGCTCTGTCTCTAGTGAATTCTCTCACCCTCCTGTGCTTCTGACTGTACCCAGTGCTTGTATAAATAAATAAATAAATCTAAAAAAAAAAAAAGATTTGGTAGGTGATTAGCAAGATGACACAAGATAGGACAAGAGAAATGATACAGCAATAAGGCAGAGGTCGGCATGGGCCTTTCGGTCTTCTCTGGGAAGTTGCTGTCCTGCATAGAAGCCAGCATAGGAAGCCCAGTGTCCACACTGTGTTCCCCAGGGCCCAGCTCAACCCCCCCCCTCACCTCAGAGACCAGTTCGAGCTTGACTGACTTGCTCACCCGACTCTTGTTTTAGCTCCTGAGGAGCCAACCCCCGAAGGAAGTGCAGTGGTAGGACAGGACTCCATGGAGGCAGCAGATGGACAATCATCTTCAGATCAGACAAAGACGCATCCCTTTCCTAGTGACTCTCTGCCTTCTGGTTTCTGTGCTTTGTTGTGACAAAGGAAGAATGAATCCCACAGCTTCATTTTTCTCCTGCTCTGCTTTCAACGGCAAAGAAAAGCAATGTTTTTTCATTTCTCAGCTCCAAACTTCCTCAACTGCATCCCTTCCAATCATTGTCCCTTTGAGAATAAAAGTCTAGAAATGAAACACAATCATGACAAGTTTGGAAAATGTGCTTTTACATTCTCAGTTCAAAGCCAATCCCTACACTTTGAGACTCTGGGCCTTATTTGCTCTCAGAGATGATAAGTCCGGCTGTGGGCCGCTTTCTGATTTCTTCTAACAGGAGTGAGTGGCTCTCGTGTGCTCGTCACTGGGGCCCCGCCGAATCTTTGCCTCTGAGCAAATGCCCCAGTGGCTGACTTCAGAGGACACCCTGACCTCAAAACTCGTCATGTGCAATGTCTCATTTTAAATGATGTGGGGAGAGAGGGAGGAGGAAAGAGACCCAGACCCCGCAGTTTATAAATCACCCCATAACACAGACTTGATATGAAAGGCACTCAGCCAGGGTTGTGAAAGGAAATAATTTTCATCCCGGCCCAGGGAATTACATGAAGCAATAGAACAAAAGCTGCATTCCCCAGAGATTTCTGAAAGTAAAATGGAGGGGGAAATGTGAAAATCACCCCAAGGGCAGAGTGAAGGACAATAGGGAAGCAAGCGGAGTGCAGCCAGACTCAGGGCCCTCGGCCTCTGCCTTCACAACACAGAAAGCTCCCCCACTGCTTCTCATCGCTGTCCTGGGAAATGTTCTTGCAGGCATGGGCTGGGGGTGGTGGGGAAGCAGAGGCGTGCTCATGGCTGTGCATCTGCATTTGGTAATGGTGAGAAAATTTTTTTTACTGAAAATCAGAAAGGAACACAAAATGTGATGCATCCTTGCTAGGACCTCACTTGTCACAAGAGACCATTAACTGTCTTTTAGCAATTCCCAGGTGGATGCAGGCAGACCCCGACTCTGTCCCTAGTCAATCAAAGCAGCAGGAAGGGAAGGAAAGGTGACAAGAGTTGCATTCCTTGCTAGACGGCAACTGTGCATGGATCTAGGAACAGGCAGGTATGGCCTGAAGGTCAGCAGAACAGAAGCCAGCTCCAATTAGAAAGCAGAGTGCAGAGTCAAGATCTGGGGGTTCTCGTCCAGACCCTACTGCTTGAGGTCTCAGCATCTCAATTTTACCAGCAATAAAACAGGGTGAGTGGCTGCGGCCCCACCTACCTCACAGGGTGTTTCGTGAGCATTCAGGGAAATACAAGAGCACAAGAGGGACAGCAATACTCACAATAACAGCTAGTAACATTTATTGGGCACTGCAGCACACCTCACCACAGGCACAGGTGAAGAGCAGAGGCAGGACTTGATGCTCAGAGTTATCGCAACGTCTAAAAAGCAGGATATCCTGGAGGAACAGAACCTGGAACCAGTAGAACCAAGTTTGAATCCCAGAGCTACCACACAACTGATGAGTTGTGTGAGTGTGGGAATGTTGCTTAACATCTCTGTGCCCCAGTGTCTCTGTTGTAAACTGGGGATAATCAGAGGAACTGCCTCATGGGTGTCATGAAGATTACGTAAAATATACACAAAACACTCGAAGAATTCCTAACACTTAGTAAGCCCTCTTTAAATCCTAGCATTTTTCATTTCTAAAAATGTCCTGATAAGTGGTCTTCCTGCCAAAGTGGAGCAAGGAAAGATGATCCAGACCACAATTTCCTGATCCTTTGCCTATGTGATTCCTTCAGACTCCTGTAGCCCAGTTGTGATAGCCCAACCCAGAACAATGGATGCTGTTAGGTGGTAGTTTGAGAAATAAGGCAGTTGTTTGGTGTTTTTGAAAGGAAAAAATGAGCCTGTAGTCTCGGCTCCCAGCTGGCAGCTTCCTTTGCCTTCCTGGCTGCAATAGAAAACACCAGTTAAATGTTCAGCTACAAGTATATTCTCAGCTATGCCTAAGACCCCCCAGACTTTGTGAAGCAGGTGCCCTCGCCCTGGCTGGAGATGGGCAGGATTTTATTCAATGCTCATTCTGATTGGGATAATCACTCCAGCTGCAAAAGACTGACTGTCCTGCATTTGGTACTCCCTTGGAGTCTACTATTTATTTTTTGGAGTAAACCCAGGTAGAGACAAACTTTAGACACCCAGAGAAAACTCGCCAGGCTGATGGCATGTTTTGTGAGCCTCTGGCCCTCCCAAGGGAGTGTTCCCTCTTCTGTGTGATTATCTGGCTTGGAGCCCTCGGGAACCCCAGTGCCACACTGGAGTGTGTGAACACCCACCAAGAGGGCAGATTAACTTGCGGGAGGCCTGCCTCCCTGCACACCTCTGAGAATGCAGTGCTCTGATACCAACATGGCTGGTCTGCTGATGTCCATCAGCAGATAACAGGCTTTTGTTTATGAGCAGTGGCTGCTTTGCTCAGCAGGGAAGAGTGACTCAGAACTAGACTGCCTGCTGAGTTCCCTCCCAGGCTTAGGAGTTTCGCAAGGAGAGGAGTCCTCCCCCACCTACAACCTTGAGGTTCATTTCATGGTAACCCTGTGTGGCTCCAGCCCCTCCGGCTCCCTCCACCCCAGGGCACCAGCCCAGGGGCACTGCAGACTCACCCCAGCAGATGGCTCTAGCTTCTGACCTGGTCCAGCAGGCCAAGGACTATCACAACCCCACTGGCCTCCAGCCCAAGGAGAGAAGCATTTTTATTGGTAAGAGCTTGACAACACTGTCCACCATCCTCGCCCCACCAGGGAACACAGTTTCTGCAGCCAGACCCTGCCCCGTCTCCCAACCTCTTACACACCAGGCCTCTGGGCCGCATTCGATCATGGAAGCAGAGTTCACAGACACGGGCGGAAGGGATAGTAACATGCCTCCTCTCTCCCTCCGCGTGGCTTTCTCCTTCATGGACATCTGAGCCTTGTTTTCGAACTCGCGGGCCTGGACGGGGCTGGTGTCTCACCCTCCCCTAGACCACGACTGGCTCATTCTTTGCAACAACCCCCACCCCCTCCTTTTCCACCCTTTCTTCTTTTCCAACTTTCCTTCAGCCCAAGTGGTGTGAGAGAGAAAGAAGGCAAACCATGCGCCTGGTGAGGAATGAGATCATTTCTCTCCCCTCTGAGCAGGCTTGCTGTCTGCTAGTCGGGGTTACTGGGAGAAAGTGGGAACGCTCGATTTCCACAGAGAGCCATCTGGCTCCACCAGACTCACGCTGATGCTAATCTGTTGGTTTCTTTTTCTTTATTCTTTTCTTTTTTCCTATTTTTTTGTTGCCGAGGAACACGTCATCTGCAGCTGTAAACTCAGACCTGGTCCATCTGAAGGCGGGTGCACGTATTTATTCCGGCATTGTGCCCCCCTCACCCCTACCCCCTTGTAGGTGTCAGGACATCATTGTTATCACTGGTGGTTCTATGTAGTTGTGATGTCAGGGCTGTACTTTCAAATGGAAATCAGGCAATTATGCTCCACATGGAGAACTCTGACAGATGCGGAGGTTTTACACCACTGGCCGTGTCTTGAGGACAAAGGCGGCCAGTGCTCCCGGGGGGATGGTTAAATAAATAGAATATGTTTCAAGAGCACAGAAAAATCCAGGAATAATTAACTACATGATGAGAGTTCATAGATCCTCTGGCTGCTTAACGTCAAAAATGTGATAATGATATGTCAACGAAGTGCTTAACTCATCCTTGTCAAGGCGGCACTAGAAAACGATCACAATGTGCATTCAAACAGAGGCGAAGCTGCTCCACGCATCTGTTTTCCAGTTTCCAAATGCAAAGCATCAGAGCATTTTCACTTGTTTTGCGTCCCCTGCACAGTGGGCTCCATTTGGCTTAAGGAGAAGAAGGGCTGGGTGTAGCCCAGTGTCTACCTGAAGCAGCAGCTCCCAGTCCACATTCAGTGTGAACTAGATCCACAGGCACGAGGGTGGCAAACTTGGGTGACAGCATCACCATGGCTGCCACAAGCCAGGTTACTTAAGTACCAAGTGTTGGCCATGCGCGCCAGTCCTGTAAGGGTCAGGAAGGTGCTGTTGGCCACAGTTCATGGATGGGGAAGTCAGTGGAAGGACCAGGTTTCTGCCCCGACTGTCACTGGTCTTAGCTCTCAGCTCCTGGGCTGCACCTTCTCTATGTTATGACAGAAATTAGAAGGGAAGATACATACTCGCTCATGAACTTTCCATAAAATTCTGTATGTCAAACACATATAGTTGGAGTGAACTAAACAGGAGAAACCTATATTAAAAAAAAGAAAAAGTGAGAGCTTTATTTCTCCCCTAAAATATCTAGCTTTAAATAAATGGTTAATTTGAAACGAACCATAGTACATTTGAAACATGTAGTAAGAGTCATCACTCATTGGATCCCTAGGCATAGCCTGGCTTATATTACTTAAACAAAGTGCCCCAAATCCTGGCCACCACTCTCTCTTGTCACAGAGGGAACAAGTCAGTGAGAGCCTTGCTTGTATGTGGTTTTGGTCTTCAGCACCCCCAGAATGTCCCCAGCTTGCAGCTGCCCCGGACTACACTAAAGCTGAAGCTGATTAGAACTGGGAAAAAAAGAAAATATTTTATCTCTCAGAAAGGTTTTGAAGTATATGACAAAAAATAGAAGACAGGTTTACACAGGAATTTTACTGGTTTTTCAGACCCACCAGTGCCATTTTGAAAGCCCAGGAGGCCCCTTGGTTAAGAGAACACATGAATCCAAGAAAACCAGTTTTCAAGAGAGACAAAATATCAACTTGCTGGTGACTGATAAATAGCAGTCACGGCACAGACCTCGGTCAGGACTTGTTTTACCTTATCCAAGGGCAGAAACACATTTAAGGAGATTCAAAGTCTTTGAGACCTTTAGCTTTGTTTAATGTTGGGGAAAAATCAAATTTCTGCTTACACAAAAGTTGGCTTTATTTTTTTTCATCTCTAGCGAACATATTTATTTGAAAATATTAAAGCGCCCCCCCCCCCCATCACCGGTGGCACAGGCAGCTGAGTGCAGCGCTGTGAAGCTGTCCGCAGCCTCTGCAGCGTGGATTCGATCCCAGTCAGCCGGCAAGAATCCTACATGGCGAAGCAGACCTCTCCTGTCTCGCCTGCTGCTCCCCTCAGCAGTATATTTCAGTCTGC